AACCTTGGATTTTTTGGGCCTCAACACCAATATAGGACAATCTGTCAAATAGACGTGAAAATGGACATGTACATCACACGTGAGTGGGCATAAAGGTATTTTAACACATAAACTGAAATGCTCAAATGCTCGCGACTCTGACTATCAAATTAAATCAAAGTCGCAAGAGTTTGAAACCCCAAATTCTCATGAAACACCATATTCTCTGACAAACAACTGCATTCATGAGAATTTGGGGTTTCAAATTCAATCAGTTCCCTTGAATATCAATCACGTGAGTCTGCATAAAGGTAGAACACAGACTAATTGAATCTGATAGAGGCTCAAACAACCCAGGTGAGTATTCAAAACTGAAAACCAGGTAGAGATTTCAAAACCAAAACCACCCCAACGTTTGAATTTATGGAGTTCAGTAAATGATGACCACCAAGCTTCAAGTTTTCTTCTTAGCAAAGGTTTCAAAGAGGTGAATCTATGCCAAGCTCTATTTGAAGCCACAATTTTTGCGACCTGGGTATATTGGATCTAATACATTTTTACATATATATCAAAATTGTTTGTTAGCTGTAAAGTTCAAAAAAAAAAAAAAAAAAAAAAAAGAAAAAAAAAGCTTGCATGAAATGAAACGTCCAATGTAAAAAAACCTAAAGAATTGGTGGGTGGCACTGAAGGTCGTCCCTGGATGAACTTGGCTTGTCAACAGTGCTCTGTATGTGTGGTAGTGATGACTGGTATTTGGTATTGTGTGAGGTACTTAATTTGTTCCAAAAAGAACTTTAATAGAATCAATCTAATAAATAAATCAAGAAGAACTTTAAGAGAACTTCATATGTTCCAATTACATATTCACATGAACTTGTTAAAAATACATTGACTAAATTGGCCGAGTAGATAAAACACAGGGACCATTTTGACATTTAAGCAATGATTTTATATATAAACACTAAAACTTATAAATTGAAGAAAGAAAAAAAATCGAAAAGGACCAACTGTATTATTTGAATGATGTGTAAAATACAATTATTATCCTTGCATGATGATTTTTAAAAGAAAAAAACTCCGATGGTAGTATTATAATTTTTAGGGTTTTCAAATATATCATACAAGCCTTGGAAAACTTAAAAATTATAATACTACCATTAGAGGTTTTTTTTTTTTTGGGGGTAGGGTTATTTTAGTATTTTAAACGGATTATCTATCAGAGTTTCTAGAATTTTAGTATTGTAGGGTTATTTTATATTTGGAGCCTTATTTATGAACTTATATAGGTTGTCAGATGCCCTTTCTCAACTCAACTAATTCAAGCTTTATCGAACTCATAATTTATTTAATAAATCAAATAGATCTATTCTTGCCTTCGTGGTGAATAAACAATCATTGAGTGTTATAATGGCTTCCCACCCATAAAAAAAAGAGAAGAATTTGATAATGCCTAAAGAGAATGAGGAGATACAGTGGGCCTGCTCTACCAATAAGGTAGCCCATTAAACCAAGCCTTCCTTCGTTGTCTGCCTTTTATCTTAAAAAACTAGCCCCCTTGGTGCATGCTCTGCATGTGCTAATTGGTTTTTTTTTTATTTTTTTATTTTATTTTTAGAATAAAGAAAATATAATATGAGTAGTTATGTTTCATAAAAGTATAACCTATTATCTGATTTTGTTTTTAATTTTAATTTTTTTAATATAAAAAAAATGTGAATTTACCATATTATCCTCATTTAATTAATAATTTTAATTCTTAATGTTTGAATTAACCAGTGGCATTTTCTTGTATTTTGAATGTTTCACCATTTTCTACCTTTTGCTTTACATATATAGATATATAGATGAAGTATATATAACTATTTTTTGGTCTTTCAAAAGTTTGAGTGAAGGACCTCAAAGGAATTCTGGAAAAATTTATATTTCTCCAAGTGTTGGCCACAACAAATTGACTATTAATTCTAGTAAGTTTTTGTTCTACCAAATAAAGCTTGTCATTACCACATGAAGTTCACAAATAAATAAGTCAATAAAGTGGGATAAGATTGGACAGCCTACTAAATCCCTACAGCATTATGATTGATGCATTTTTATTAACTAAAATCCCGTTTGATTTACGAAACGGATTTAAAGAAAAATCATTTTCCATGTTATTTTCTAAGAGCAGTTCTAGAGGGCTGCCCTTGTCAAGGCAGGAGGGGGCCCAAGCCCCAAATTCGTCTTCCAGCGGGCTGAAGCTACCAGGGCAACTGTTGAGGCCCAAGAAACCAGGCTAGCCTTCCGGCAAAACGAGCCTATACTCTAGCCTGGATTGCTGATGTCAGCAAATTTAAAAAAATCTACAAAAAATTTCATATTTTTTATAAAAATAAATACTTAGTCATATTCTTCACTTCCCACACCAAAACTATATACAAATTTCTCTCTTCATATCTCATGTGAATAGTGGTTGACATGACAATAAGTGGAAACACCATAATATTTTGCAAGGGTTGCCACTGTTCACGTGAATGGTAACAACAATTGCTTTGCCCTTGCCCTTGCCCTTTGCCATGGCAAATGGGTGGAAGTGCTATTTTAATATTTGAATTAACCAAAGGCATTTTCTGGTATTTTGAATGTTTCACCATTCTCTGTCTTTTACTTTATATATATAGATTCAGTAGAGTTCAAATAAAAAATTAATAAAATTTGTTTTAAGTCGAACCATTTTAAAAAGAAATAATTATATAATAGTCCCTTTGTAGCTGAGAATTGACTTCTTTGTTGTAGCGTGTAGTGGTAGCTGGGGTTAACCCTTCCCATGCCCATCATTAAAATTACTTTACTTCTTTTTTTCTTTTTCTTTTTTTAATATGGTCATTTTGGTTGGATGTGTTGATGGATCAAAACCTCATGATGATGATCTCACAAACTTTGGATCCATTATTGAGGCCTAATAAATTTTAGTCCACCCTTCCCCACCACCAAAATAAATAAGTCAATAAAGTGGGATAAGATTGGACAGCCCACTAAATCTCTACAGCATTATGATTGATGCATTTTTATTAACCAAAATCCCATTTGATTTACAAAACGGATTTAAAGAAAAATTATTTCCCATGTTATTTTCTAAGAGCAGTTCTAGAGGGCTGCCCTTGTCAAGGCAGGAGGGGGCCCAAGCCCCAAATTCATCTTCCAGCGGGCTGAAGCTGCCAGGGCAACTGTTGAGGCCCAAGAAACTAGGCCAGCCCTCAGGCAAAACGAGCCCGTACTCTAGCCTGGGTTTGCTGACGTCAACAAATAAAAAAAATCTACAAAAAATACAAAAAATTTCATATTTTTTATAAAAATAAATACTTAGTCATTCTTCACTTTCCACACCAAAACTTTATACAAATTCCTCTCCTCATATCTTATGTGAATAGTGGTTGCCATGACAATGGGTAGAAACACCACAACATTTTGCAAGGATTGCCACTATTCAGGTGAATAGTAACAACCATTGCTTTGCCCTTGCCCTTTGCCATGGCAAATGGGTGGAAATGCTATAAGGGATGGGAAATTGAAGATTTATTTTCCATGTGTTGGTAATGCTGGGAAAGTAATTGGTAGATATCACTTTGTTTCATTTCTCATGTTTGTTTTGAGTAGGAATGGAAAACAAAGTTTTTATAATTTTCCAATTATACCCATATTGAATCAAATAAAAAAAATTGCATTTAATAAAATATTGTAATTCTAAATTTTTAATGGGGATAAAATAGTCATGAAAAATGCACATTTAATATTGACTCATTTTCTCAAATTGTCCCATGAGGAGGGAAAACAAATCCCAAGGAGTAGGAGGGCTTCACTTTCCCCTACTTCCTCATGTGCAAGGCTATCGTTTTCCATGTCTAAACTTACCGAACATGGGAAAACAATTAATTTCTCATCCCCAAGCTTCATTTCTCATGAACCAAATGAGACCCAAAAGTAATATTTGATTCTTTATTTATTTTAGAATTAATATTATTTTTTGAGTGTAAGCGATAATTTAAAGTATTGGGAGGGAGGTTTCTCACACATGCACAATCAAGATGCCATGGTGATTCAAACATAAAACTTCTAGTATGCAAGTCAAAGCCATTTTTCACTGGACTAGATCCAGTTGGTTGAATTAATATTATTTGATTCTAAGTAATGAGCAATTATCTCTTAGCATTATAATTGACAGCAATTAACTGCATAATAACATAACATATAGACTATCTAAAAATTTATGTGCAGATAATTGACCATGTAACTAAAATGTATATTCTAGTAGTTAATAATATATGTAGCTTTTCAAAAGTGATAACATCAAAATGTTTTTTTACTTAAATCATAATTTAAGCAGTTTACATTATAAAAAGCAGAAGTCTAAAACCCTAAATTCTTCATCTTGAATCATTTCATCTAAATAAACCATTAAACATTTCAATTTAGAAAATACCATAACAAAGTCAATGCTTGGGATTTGTGAGTAATGTTCAAGCATTTCCATAATAAATTAAAAACACTGCAGCACACGCAGGAGAAACATAACAAGAATTACACCATGACATAAAGATACACAGAGACAGAGCAACTATCCAATTCTGATGCTTGGTTGTGACAAAATATTCTGCTACTCAGCTAATAAAAAAATAAAAACTTTTTAACATGAAAATAAATAAAATACTTCAATCAAGGAATTAATAAATAAAATAAATAAATAACCGCGTAATTAATCATGTTTTTGCTGGATTACCGCGTCTTTAAATCAAAGCAAGACGGTGGGTCCTCATGTCAGCAATCAACAAATCGAAGGCTAAAGTCAAGAAAAGCACTCTCTCTCTCCCTCTCTCTCTCTCTCTCTCTAAAACATTAAATAATTTTTCCAATTCTCTCTCCATATAATAACACTATAAATTCTTTTCTTTTCTTTTTCCAACAAAACAGACATAATCAAACCGCCTTAGCTTTGTTATTATCGAAACCAAAAAACCAAAAATAAAATAAATAATAATAATAATAATAAAAAGTCTCCCTTTGAAAAGCAGCCATAGGAGGAGGAGAGAGAGAGCTCTCCACGTTTTCTCATCACAACAAGCAAAACTGAATAAAAAAAACAAAACCAAAAAAACACTCGCTTTTGACAGCACAAAAAAGCAACAAACCCAATTACCCTCATCTTCTACCTACCTACCTATAATCTCACAACCCTCCACCGTCACCACCTCCTTTTTTCTCCACCGCCCTTCTCTGCAATCCAACGGTCTGTTTTTGTTCCGATCAATTCATTTTTTCAACATTTCTTGTTAGACCTAATTTGTGCGGTCAATTCTGTTTATTTCTGGATCGAATTCGAATTTGAATTCAAACCCTAGGGTTGCAGAACACCAAAAGGAGCTCAATTAATTCAAATTCCCGGTGATTTTTCATCTGGGTCGATGGCGGATCTTGAAAATAGGCTCGAATTGTCGGGTAAGCCCAAACCCACCACCTTGTTCTTCAATCGATCGCTTAGCATGTACCCTACCCCCATGGATGCTCCCAAGAAGCCCCATTTCCATGCTTCGATCGATCACCACACAAATTCCTTCAAGAAATTCTACAATTCCATCGAGACGGTGCGTTCCGCCAGCAGTTCCTTCAAAGGGAAGGTCAAGAAGCTCTGCAGTTTTTTCGAATCGGATAAACCTGGGTCGCGAAATCCTGATGAATCACAATCCCTGATGAATGTCAAGCTAAGACCCTCGAAGTCAATGGCGCCGTCGAAATCCATAGCGCCAGATTTTCGGATTCTGTCGATTCGGTTGCCAGGCACGGATGATCGAATTGTGGTGTATTTCACGAGTTTGCGAGGGATTCGGAGGACATATGAGGATTGTTATGCTGTGAGGATGATATTCAAGGGGTTTGGGGTTTGGGTTGATGAAAGAGATATATCTATGGATTCGGCTTATAGGAAAGAGTTGCAGAGCGTTTTGGGTGAGAAGAATGTGAGTTTGCCACAAGTATTTATAAGGGGAAAGTATGTGGGAGGTGCTGAGGTGATCAAACAGCTGTTTGAGACTGGGGAATTGGCGAAAATTCTTCAAGGGATTCCTATTCGGAAACCCGGGTTTGTGTGTGAAGGTTGTGGGGATGCGCGGTTCGTGCCCTGTATGAATTGCAGTGGGAGTAGGAAGGTATTTGATGAAGATGAAGGGATGCTGAAGAGGTGCTCTGAGTGCAATGAAAATGGTTTGATTCGGTGTCGTGAATTGCAGTGGGAGTAGGAAGGTATTTGATGAAGATGAAGGGATGCTCAAGAGGTGCTCTGAGTGCAATGAAAATGGTTTGATTCGGTGTCGTGATTGCAGCTCTTGAATTGCCAAATGCCACGTTGCTGCATACTCTAGACGCCCTGCTGTTGTTCATAAATAAATAACTACTCGAGAATAGTTGATGGTAATGCTTAAAGTTGGGATCCAAATTTCTCTTTGATTTGTGGTTTTTTTGTTGGTTGATTGTGCATCTGTTGGGGACTGATGTTCATTCACTCTTTGAACTGCATTTTGAATAATAGTGCATGTTATCAAGATGCAAAATTGGTATGGGTATGTCCGATTGTAATACGCACTAGGGAGAGGTGTTTCTTTCCTCCCCAATGGCAATGTAAATATTTAGTATATTGTATCTCTGCAAGGGGTTGCAAACTGATGAAATGTATTGAGATTGGATTTATTTATGCATTAACTATCCACTCTTGAATATCTTTGGCTTTCAATGCAGTTTAGTGTACGTTTATATGTAGATCTTTTCTTGATTAGTGGAAGTTTTGATATGATTATGTGGACATAATGGAATTAGGATTTGGCCTTTTGGGTGATTAGGATTTGGTCTCTGTGTGTGGGTTTCATGTTGTATTTGTAAAATTGTGAAAGTATTCACTTGTAGGGAATCGGTGTAGATAATTTTCGCGAGTGATTATTTTCAAGATGCTGCTTTGAATTTGATTTCATTCATCTACATAATACGTGGGAATGGAAACTCTAATTCTTATTTTTTCATTGGATTTTTGATCGGTGGGGATCAGTATCTGGTGGTACGAAATCAAACTTCTTGTTCAGTAATCAAACAGAGGTTTTTAATATTTGTTGCTTGCAACTGACTGATCTCTGTAAGTATAGAATGTGATCTGGTGCATTCTTGTTCGTTTTCTTCTCTCTTTTCTTTTCTCTGCAAACTAAATAAGAGCTCTAGTAACAGGGTTTTGTTTTATCCCTTGTTGATAATGAGCTTGATCTTGTGTAATTGTTCTCCTGTTGGATTCATGCTAATTGTCGTCAAAATAGAAAGTTGTTAGTGTTTTCAGTGTTTGGTGTTGTGGATTTCAGCATTGTGATTTACTGGAATCTTTTATCATTATTTCTTCTTCTGAAAACAGTGACAGAAAACTTCTAAGTTCTAATTGTCTATTTCTGAACTGATGATCTGTACTGGATACCATTTGGTTCATATTTTATCCTTATTTATCTATTCTCATTACCTGTTTACTTCATTTGGCCATGGTTTTGCATTTGTTTGACTTCCATCCTCTGTTGTAAGCCTCTTGATCCTGATACCTAGTTTTCTTTTCTATTTTTGGCTAAGGCCTGCCTCAATACCAAAACAAAAAAGGCAAAATAGAAAAGAAAAGAGTAGATAGAATGTCATTGACATATGGAATGAATAGGTAGAATATATAATTATAAATATATGAGTTTACTTTTCCCTTTGGTCTCCCCTTATTGAATGTCATTGTACAACTGTATGAACTTGAAATTATGGTTCAAGGAATCCAATTCGTCAGCTTTCTATAATTCCAAGTATGGATTCAAAAGGAAGGTATGAAAATCTGCACGCTTTAATGGAAATGAAATTTTTGAGGCATTCAAAAATTACCAGGGCCAGAATGAAGTCTAAATTCCAAGTCAAACTGGTGCTTCTTGTTGCACCAAAGGCTGTTGCACTGGGTGCTAAAGCATGGGATCTTTAACCATATGGTCCATATGTATTCGATGCCCCCTTATCCATATCTAGCTACTAACTATGGTACACAACTTTCATTGTTAATAGTATCCCATGCTTCTGCTATTTCTCTATGCGATTTCTCCTTTCTTTTGTCTTCTTCTTTTTTTCCTCACTTTCTTTTGCGTTTTTCTCTGTATAATCCGAAAATTCTGTGTTTTTCAGCATCCAATTTCTAAAAATTATTTTCATACGTGCCGAAATATCCACACACACAAAAAAAGAAAAAGAGATACGAGTGAATGGAAAGGAAAAAACAAAGGATCAATTCCACTTTAAAGAGACACGCTATAAAAATAGAACCGTTATGAAACTTATTATCTGGATGGGAATCAAGAACAAGAAAATTCGAAGTTAGAAATATTTTAAAAAAAATTAAAAAAAATTAATACATAGGATACATGCACTAAACGATAAGAAGAAATTCGACCACCCCCTACATATTTGATAACCTCTCCTACGACAAAACTCGCAATACCGACTCCATTCGTAATTCCATCAATTACTCCTCTATCAAAAAAATGAGTTAGTTCAACTAATCTTCTTATTCTAACAAATGAATTAAATAAATTTAAATTTTGTAAAGATGAATAAAAAAATAAAAAAATAAAAAAAAATTTGTAACACATTACAAAATTACCAGGGCCAGAATTAAGTCTAAATTCCAATATGCGAACATGCACTTGGAAATTGTAGTTTAAGGGAAGAAATAATGTCTATGTAAGCTGTAATATTTCCAAATGCGCATTGGAAACTGAAGGAAAGAAAAATATTGGATGTTGATGGAGATAAGATTGTTCTGTCCTTCTTCCCCTATAAAGTATTCTTCACGGGGAATGGTCTAGTCTAAGAGCATAGAATCGAAACAATGGCAAAGCATAGAGCTCTCCTGTTTCCTTATGTTTTCTCCATTCTCATACTCACTATGAGCTTATTGTGCAAAGCTGTTGATGATGAAGACAGAAAGCCATATATTGTCTACTTGGGATCACTTCCTAATGATGAGGCCTTCTCACCACTGTCTCACCAAATTGGTATACTCGAACTTCTGCTTCTAATTTCTTGATAAGAAGCTACAAAAGGAGCTTCAATGGGTTTGCTGCCAAGCTCACTGACCAAGAAATAGAAAGGCTTGCTAACATGAAGGAAGTAGTCTCTGTCTTTCCAAGCACTAACTTCCAACTTCACACAACAAGATCTTGGGATTTTATTGGTCTCAATGACGAAACCAAAAGGAATTTTACTACAGAGAGTGATGTTGTTGTTGGTGTGATCGACACTGGAATTTGGCCCGAATCGCAGAGCTTCAATGACGAAGGTTTTAGTCCGGCTCCCAAGAAGTGGAAAGGTGTTTGTGAAGGTGGCAAAAATTTCACTTGCAACAACAAGATCATTGGAGCTCGGCGTTACAACTCATCATCAGCAAGGGATGAAGTTGGACATGGGTCCCACACTGCCTCAACGGCAGCAGGGAATGCCGTTAAGGGCGCGAGCTTTTATGGTCTAGCACAAGGTACTGCAAGAGGAGGAGTTCCCTCTGCGAGAATTGCTGCCTATAAAGTCTGCGAATTCGAAAAGTGCCCTGGAGAGGCTATCATGGCTGCTTTTGACGATGCTATTGCTGATGGAGTTGACATCATTGCAATTTCACTTGGAGGCACTTTCGTCACTTCTTTCGATAAGGATCCTATAGCCATTGGCAGTTTTCATGCAATGAAGAAAGGGATACTAACTGCACATTCTGCAGGCAACAGTGGTCCTGAAGAGGGTACCGTAGTAAGTGTAGAACCATGGGTACTTACAGTTGCAGCAAGTGGCACAGATCGCCGGATCATTGACAAGGTTGTTCTTGGAAATGGAAGGACACTCATTGGGAATTCGGTGAACTCTTTCACATCCAATGGAACAAGTTATCCTTTGGTATATGGAAAAGATGCTACAAGTCATTGCTCTGATTTCGATGCTCAGAGTTGTTTAGCAGGCTGCATAGACAGTGCTTTAGTCAAGGGAAAGATTTTGGTATGTGATGCGTCTGATGGAGATATAGCGGCTCTTCAAGCTGGTGCACTAGGTTCCATTGTAATCAGTCCCAGTGAGGATGTTGCTTTTATTGTCCCACTACCTGCAACAGGTTTAAGCATCAAAGATTATGAGGGGCTCAAGTCCTACCTGAACTCCACAAAACATGCTAAAGCCAACATATTAAAAAGTGAAGCCATAAAAGATCCTGCTGCACCCATTGTTGTTTCTTTCTCTTCCCGTGGACCGAATTCAATTTTACCAGAAATTATTAAACCAGACATAAGTGCCCCAGGAGTAAATATTTTGGCTGCATTTTCTCCTGTTGCTGCTATCACAGATAGCCCTGACGATGGGAGGCATGTCAAATACAGTATGCTATCTGGAACCTCCATAGCTTGTCCCCATGCTGCTGCTGCAGCTGCATATATTAGAACATTCCACCCTGAATGGTCTCCAGCAGCCATCAAATCATCTCTTATGACTACAGCTTGGCCCATGAACCACACTGACAACGTTTCTCCTGCTGGGTGAACTCTTTCACATCCAATGGAACAAGTTATCCTTTGGTATATGGAAAAGATGCTACAAGTCATTGCTCTGATTTCGATGCTCAGAGTTGTTTAGCAGGCTGCATAGACAGTGCTTTAGTCAAGGGAAAGATTTTGGTATGTGATGCGTCTGATGGAGATATAGCGGCTCTTCAAGCTGGTGCACTAGGTTCCATTGTAATCAGTCCCAGTGAGGATGTTGCTTTTATTGTCCCACTACCTGCAACAGGTTTAAGCATCAAAGATTATGAGGGGCTCAAGTCCTACCTGAACTCCATAAAACATGCTAAAGCCAACATATTAAAAAGTGAAGCCATAAAAGATCCTGCTGCACCCATTGTTGTTTCTTTCCCTTCCCGTGGACCGAATTCAATTTTACCAGAAATTATTAAACCAGACATAAGTGCCCCAGGAGTAAATATTTTGGCTGCATTTTCTCCTGTTGCTGCTATCACAGATAGCCCTGACGATGGGAGGCATGTCAAATACAGTATGCTATCTGGAACCTCCATGGCTTGTCCCCATGCTGCTGCTGCAGCTGCATATATTAGAACATTCCACCCTGAATGGTCTCCAGCAGCCATCAAATCATCTCTTATGACTACAGCTTGGCCCATGAACCACACTGACAACGTTTCCCCTGCTGAATTTGCTCATGGATCTGGACACATCAACCCTGTAACAGCTCTAGATCCTGGCCTCGTGTACGAAACTTCTGAAGGTGATCACATTAAGTTGCTCTGCTCATTCCTGGATGATGCAAGAGTTAAACTTATATCGGGAGAGAACAGCTCTTGTCCTAAAGGCTCTGAGAAAGGATCACCAAAGGATTTCAATTACCCTTCGCTGGCTGCTGTTGTTAAACCAGTGACATCTTTTACTGTTAACTTTAATAGAACAGTTAAAAACGTTGGCCTTGCAAACTCTAACTACAAGGCCAAAATCCTCCCGGATTCTAAAGTTGACATCAAAGTAGTACCTCAAGTTCGTTCATTCAAGTCCTTGAATGAGGAGAAGACTTTCACCGTGACAGTCATTGGAAAAGGCTTGCCGGATGGATCACATGCGTCTGCGTCGCTGATTTGGTATGATGGAACTCATAGAGTTAGAAGTCCAATTCTTGTACGCAGCAAAGCAGCTTCATGGTGATTGCATTGTTTTTATTCTTAACTTCATTGTTTGCATACCAAGGAAATTTTATGATTGTATCTGACACTCGTTCCTGTGATAAATAAAACAAAACTGTGAAGGATTTGTTGCTAGAAAACTTTATTGTATTAACTTTAATAGAACAGTTAAAAACGTTGGCCTTGCAAACTCTACCTACAAGGCCAAAATCCTCCCGGATTCTAAAGTTGACATCAAAGTAGTACCTCAAGTTCTTTCATTCAAGTCCTTGAATGAGGAGAAGACTTTCACCGTGACAGTCATTGGAAAAGGCTTGCCGGATGGATCACATGCGTCTGCATCGCTGATTTGGTATGATGGAACTCATAGAGTTAGAAGTCCAATTCTTGTACGCAGCAAAGCAGCTTCATGGTGATTGCCTTGTTTTTATTCTTAACTTCATTGTTTGCATACCAACTCGTTCCTGTGATAAATAAACAAAACTGTGAAGGATTTGTTGCTAGAAAACTTTATTGTGATTATCCAAATTTTTTTGTTAATCCAAGTCCTTTGGTAACAAAATATTTGTACTTCTTTCAATCTTTTGAATATAAATTTGGTATAAAGATCTTAACATATGAACAGCACACAAATTATGAAGGCATCTGAGTAATTAAACAGATCTAGATGACAACAAGGCGCTTACGTAGCCTCCTTTAACTGTAGCTATAACTCAATAAGGAACAATGCGTCGATCAGAAAATCTGCAAGACTTACATGTTTCACTTTTGGCTGAAGAGAATTTCAAAAGAAGCACTTAGTAAACAGAACCAGGATTATGCAACTTCTCTGCTGACTACAGAGTATAACATCACTGACCAAACCAATAGAGCTTCAGTTTCTTGATGAAGAAGGTGATCCCGTTTGAATTTCAATGGCATCTGGACCTAATCTTTCTGGTAACTTTTCAAGAACTTAACACCAATTTTGGATCTGTTTCTTACTAAAAACAACTCATCTTTCTTGAAGAGGTAGTTTAACGTCAGATATGTGGCTGGTCGTATTACTGCCAATAACATCACCTTAATTCGGCTTTTCAAGGTATAGGCACCCTCCCAATGTGTTACATGTCCCTTCTAGAGCTTCCAATTCACTGCCTGTCAATGAGTTCTGTGTAGTAAAAAAAACATTATTCTGGCACATTTTAATTGTGTGTTCATCTTTTCTTCTGGCAAAATTGAAATTGTGTGCTCCATTTAACTCAATAAGAATTGTTCACGTGTTAGGCACAAAAACAAGCCACACTTGAGTAAAGATGGTCTCTATGCCCTAACAACATAACCATTTGTTTCTGCAGGTACTACTAGTCCAACATTTCTTTTTTATTCGGTCCTTTTACTAGTTCTACTGACAAGTCTTCTGTATATGCTTGTAAGCATTGCTTGTATGGCAAGATTACTCAGATAACCATTTCCTATTTCTCAAACTGCATCTCTCTTTGATCTGAAAACCAGCTAAAAGTTCCTGCTCTACATCGTGCTAGGTTCTTAGTCACAAGCTGGACTCCAGCCACTGGTCCATTTCCAAACCATTCCTGGAACAAGGAAACCCAAAACATACCCGAACAGAACTCAAAATAACAACATAAAAATTTGATCCTGAACTTTGGTGTGACAATATTTCAGTCATGGTCCATTTTATGTTTCACTCATGGAAAGAAACAAATATGCTGATTATGCTTTTGTGTGTGATAGAATTATAAGCAAAAATCATGATGTTCAGTTTGTATCCACTTCTTACGAACTCCTTGGCAGCTTACTAACTGCTTCATTTCGTTTTCTTCGTGACAAACTTATTGTTTATGACAGAGGCTTACCGGAGGAGTTCATCAATAATACAATAGAGCTTACGGCAGCAAGATTAGTTTGAGTGGTTATTGTTAGTTTGGAAGTTGGGAAGAGTTGAAACTAATGAGTTTCAGCCTTGCAGTCTAATTGCTTAGTACTTAAGCAGTCTAATTCGTAAATTCAAATTGTACTTCACTGTTAAATTCTTTATTATAGTTTGTTCAATTTAATTCTAGTTTTTCTTCGCTCGCCTGATGATAAATCATCTCAACTTTCACAACATCCTTTAAAAACAAGAGTCGGAAATAGTATCACTGAGACGTGAGAACCAGGCAAACTCTCTCTTCCACTGGACCACTTCCCTACAAATAAGAGTTTCTTCCATAAAAAATCAATGTGTTTTTTTTTTTCGGTCAGTATTTTGTCTTTTGGCTCTGCGGCATCTATCATTATGAAAGTCATAACATTGCATTGTTATTTTTGTTAGGGCATGAGGTTATTATTCTTTTGTTAGTTTTCTTAATTTCTTGGCAACTCAACAGTTTAAGGAAACAAAAAAGGGAAACAGAGGATTCACTTTTTTCCAAATAATTTTGATGAATATGAAGTGTTTTGAAGAAAGCCTAGCTAATGAAGAGGATTAGGAGGCATTTTAGATAACTGTGTTTAGGTTGACAGCTTAAGATGTGATCATGTGTGTGCAATTCCAATTAACTTGGAACTGGCAAGGCCAAAACATCATAATAAATTTTATTGATTGTTGGAAAATTAAAAAAAATTAAAAACGAATTGTTTTCGTATGACGTTTATTTTGGTGATAGTTAGGTTGTGGCTTTCTATGGATACTTTCCTACATTGCAGCAGAGCCAAATATATGTAAAATCTGAAACAATTTCTTGAAACGTTTGGATCTCTGTCATCCTACCCTACATACATGGAAAGACATATTTGAGCACGTACTCCGGGTTTGGCGTGCAGAATGTGGGTTGAGTGCCGTTACTGCATGCCTTAAATTGTACATAGAGCAGGGGGAGTAGGCAAATCTTGTCTTTTGCAACATCTTTAGAAATTGTTAGGGCCAGAGCCGCCTAATCCAAATGTGTTTATGTACATGAAATGTACACAGCTTCCTATATGAACTTGGAAATAGGGTTAAGGAATTAAATCATTTTTCTTATAAAGTACTCATCACCAGTTTCGAAAGTGATCATCGAACGATATGTCTAAGCATGCAGCTCTCTTGTATTCTTATGCTTTTCCTATTCTTGCACTGGCTATGAGCTTGCTGTGCACAGCCGTTGATGAAGAAGATAGAAAGGTCCATATTGTGTACTTGGGGTCACTTCCTAGTGATGAGCTTTACTCACCATTGTCTCACCAACCTGGTATACTAGAAAGGGTTGTCCAGGGAAGTTCTGCTGCAAATGTGTTGGTGAGAAGTTATGGAAGGAGTTTAAATGGATTTGCTGCCAAGCTCACCAACCGCGAGAGAGGAAAGCTTGCTAAGATGAAGGAAGTAGTCTCTGTCTTTCCAAGCACAACTTTCCAACTTCACACAACAAGATCTTGGGACTTTATGGGCTTCAGTGAGAGCATCTCTCGAAGTAAAACAGTTGAGAGCAATGTTGTCATGGCCGTGATTGACAGTGGAATTTGGCCTGAATCCGATAGCTTTAAAGATGATGGTTTTGGTCCTCCTCCCAAGACATGGAAAGGTGCTTGCCAAGGTGGCCAAAATTTCACTTGCAATAACAAGATTATTGGAGCTCGGTTTTACACATCAGAGGAGTCTGCAAGGGATGAGATTGGTCATGGAAGCCACACTGCCTCAACGGCAGCAGGAAATGCTGTAAAGGATGTGAGCTTTTATGGACTAGCCCGTGGTACTGCAAGAGGAGGAGTTCCTGCTGGGAGAATTGCTGCATATAATGTCTGCACTAATCAAGGTTGCAGTTCGGTTGATATCTGGGCTGCTTTCGACGATTGTGTTGATGATGGAGTTAGCCTCATTACAATTTCAATTGGACGTACTGTTGCAACTTCTTTCGAAATGGATCCTATAGCAATTGGTGCTTTTCATGCAATGAAGAAAGGGATACTAACTGTACAATCTGCAGGCAACAGTGGTCCTGGAAATGGTACAGTCTCAAGTGGGGCACCGTGGATTCTTACGGTTGCAGCAAGTAGCATAGATCGTAAATTCATTACCAAGGCTGTTCTTGGAAATGAAACTAATCTAGTTGGGATTTCAGTGAAGTCTTTCGAATCAAATGAATCAAGTTATCCTTTGATATATGGAAAAAATGCTTCAAAACAATGCTCGGAATTCTTTGCCGGGTATTGTCTAGAAGGCTGCCTAGACCCTGATTTAGTTAAGGAAAAGAT